GAAAAAAATGTAAAATCCGGAAAATATTTTTCTCAAGTTGAAAATTTATTTTCCAGTTTTGCAAATTTTCACAGATTTCTAAATTCTTGTCCTAATTTATATTTTTGTACATATGGCAACTATTTATCATGGTTAGATTCTTTATCATTACTGTGGTGCTTGAGACTAGAGGCTACATACTTTATATTGATTTTTTATTAAGATCATGGAAAATCCTGCCACCTTCCAATTTAAATCTAATCTGCTCAAGGCGTCAAAGAGCAATGATTTCAAGGATGCCGTTGCCTACGGCAAGCGGAGCGTCAATGAATGGCGCATCATCAAAAACAAGATGATCAATGATGATCCAAACAAGACATACAAATGCATATGTCAGAGGAAAATCCAATACATTTCATTCATCTATAACATAGAAACGAAATTAACAATATTGGTTGGATCTACATGTTTGAAGAAATTCAAGATCAACAAAAACCACAACCAAGACAATCCCTATACAAAAATCATCATATCCAAACTGACCAAAGGAGAGTATGAGATCATAGACGACATAATAGAATATAGTGATGACGTTGAGAAAGAATTGCAAAATTATTATGAGACTATAATCACCAACATTCTAACCAATCCTAGATTGAGCACTGAAGATGTTCATGATGGTCTATCTACTATCATTGAAGAGATTCTGTTCTTGAAGAATGAATACGGATTGTCATATCTAGATTCAATTCTTAATGAAGTTAAGGAATCAATTAAAAGAATTGATTTGCAATTAGAGAGAGAGATTGAAACTAGATTAAGACTGCAGAAAATAGATGAAGAACAACTTATTCAACGATTGAAGAAAGAGGAAGAAGCAAGAAAATCCAAAGAGATTAATGACTTTAAAGATAGAATTAACAACATTAATTATTCTACAAGTCATATTCTTCAATCTTTAGAAAATATGCTACAAGAGATGCAAGGTAAATCATACTTAGAACACATCTCAATCAGAGTGAATAAGTTGATCAGAAGATGTCCTGCTTCTACTATCGCAAGGGGGACAGAACCCTCATATTTCAAGAAGAAGAGTTTATCAAAATCAATTAGTTTTTTTATTAGTTTTTATTACTTTTTTTCTTCCGCCCTCTCTTTCTAGCATGGAATCACACAAAATTAATCTGGGATTAATTCCTTTAATTTTTGAATATTTTTTCTTCAACTCATAAAACAATTTATCAAACTCTTCATTTAATTTAACAAAATTAATTGGATTTTCTTTATTATTAGATGTTTTCTCATCATCATTGTAACCACTAAAACTTGGCACAAAATAATCAATATGTGGTTTAATCATGACAACTTCTATGTGCAGTTTAGTCAAGTTTAAACTATTCCATTTTTCGATAATTTTAACAGTTTTTTCTTTGGAGTCAGTGTGTATAGAAAATTCTAATGTATCATATTTTTTTAATTCCCAATGTTCATTTTCATTGTCATAGTCCTTTCCATCTTTAAAAGAATATGGAAAAGCGTTTGTAAGTCTAAAAACACATGTGTCTTCATTTAAATTTAAATTAAAATCATTTAAATTTAATTTATAAATCTTGTCAACCAAAAAACAATCTTGACCATCAGAATACTTAACCTTGACTAAACATGTGATATTTCGCTTTTGATCTTCTTGTAAATATTTTAATTGTTTATATTCATAAAACGCGTTTTCTTGTTCTTTTATTTGATTTTCATCATATTGATTTGTAATTTTAATGTCAGGCAATGATTTCAGAGATTTTGGTATAGAAGGATCTGCTACATCATCAGGATTTGCTATATCATCAGGATCTGCTACATCACATGTTTTGCCTGTACAAAAAATTCTTGATAAAAAACCACCTCCTGCTTTCTTAATATTAGAAAGCGGGATGAATTCATTTTTTAATTTGATATATTTTTTGTTTTTCTTTGTATAAATAATCTTGCCATTGTATTTAGCTTCCGTTTTTATATAATCACTATGTTTATTAGTTTGTTTTTTATGTTTTGCAACAGGCACAATCAATCTATTCATATTTATTTACAATATTACAATATTATAAAATTATATTACAATTAATTTTATAAGCTTCCAGCAAATTAAGTTTGTCAGATTGCATTTAAAATCAAATCTTTATCTTTAATCGGCGCTTTGCTTAATGAAGCCAACAAAACGTTTTTCTTGTAAATTATAAATTTCCAAAATATAAGAATTGATTCTTCAGAGAAGAATCCAATCCTTTTGTAGTTTAAAATGCGTTAGTTTTATCCAATATGTATTGTTGTAGAAGTCTTGTTCCATCTCTTTATAAATGCAATACACTTATTTTCGTAGATATTTGAATATATCCATCTCTAATTTCTACATAGACTAGAAGAATTAGATCTAAAATCAAAGAATATATCAAAAATGCCATAGAAATTAATGATCCAGAACTTATTGTTAGGGTCCCGCTCTATATTCATTTTTTCTTTCCAAGAAAACAAATTCAAAAAGAAGCAATTCAAGATATCTGCCGTCGTTTCGGAACCCCCCAGATGAGAAGAAGATGAACGAAAAGAAAAGGAATAAGAAATATGAATCCGAAAGACATAGACTTGAAGCATTAGACTGATTCCGTGATATTAGAATAGGGGGTTCCGAGCTTGCGCAGGCTTGGCTTTAGCCATCCGAAGCGATGAAATCGCTAAGGCTTGGGCCTTGCCCAACCGCCCCCCTCCGACGGTCAGTTACTCAAGTTGTATCATGGTGATATTGATGGTTTCACTATTGAATTACAACCTTCTCTTGAAACCTATCAAGAAATCTTGACTAAATATGATCTATGGAAGAAGGATTTTCCATCCTACCTTTGATATTTCTAAATTAATTATTTTTTACATTGATATCGCAATTGATTTGCATGGATATTGCATGATACTGCATGGATATTGCATGATACTGCATGAATTTGCATCGATATTGCAATTGTAAGCATTGATTTCGCATGGTTGTGCATGGATTTGCAAAGATATTGCAATTGTAAGCATTGATTTCGCATGGACTTGCAAAGATAGCGCAATTGATATGCTTTTGTTAGGCATGTTTAAGAATAAAAAATACCACAGATAATTTATTTATCATTGTTTGATGAATTTTTCAAAGCATGCTCCAACTCCAATATCTGAATGATTTTAATGATTTGCATGATTATATGCACCGTTCCGTAACCAGTAAAATTAAACACAACCGAATCCTCAACCTCATCACCGTTATGATAATGATAATAACTGAACTTCCGTGCATCATACTCCTCCTTAGTCATCAAGTGGCAATACATATGCCCCTCATACGAACTGAGAACTGCATCGTAGTTTTTGAACAAAGGCCTGAACAACCCCAATATGTGCAAGTTGTTGTGTTCAGCTTCGGAATCAAGATCGGCATGAAAATCGAATCGCAAATGGTACGGCCGGTCTGTATGGCATTTGCATGGGTCTTTATCTTCGATAACAGGAAACTCAGTCTGTCCAAGAGTTCTCCTCACTAGATTTTCTAGTTGAGTGTCATAATATGATTTAGAAGTATCATATAACGATTTCTCAATACATTTCTTTCGCTCTGCATCCAATATAGATTGCATGTTTTTGCTTTCTATTGATTGAACTGATTGATATCATTTTTTCGAATAGTTGTGCATTTTATATTGCATGGTTGTGCATTGATATTGCATTAATATTGTATTAATATTGCATTAATATTGCATAGTTGTGCATTGATTGTGCAAAGATATTGCAATTGTAAGCATTGATATTGCATTAGTATTGCATTGATATTGCATGGTTCTGCATGGATATTGCAATAGTAAGCATTGATATTGCATTGATATTGCATGGTTGTGCATGGATTTGCAAAGATATTGCAATTTTAAGCATTAATATTGCATGGATTCACATAGATATAGCATAGATATAGCATATATAGCAACAGTGAGCATAGATATAATATTGGAAAGAGATATTTAGTATAAACAAAAATTGTATAGATAATATAGATAGAATGTCTGACACAGCAGCTGTTGATACAGTTATTGATCCTAAAATCTTGAAAAGAAGAGAATATCAAAGACAATATTACAAGAAGAAATATCAAGAAGACCCCGAATACAGGAAGAAGAGAGATCAGATCAACAAAGATTACAAAAATTCAAGATATCAATATGATGAGGAATATAGGGAGAAACAGAAGGAAATCAAACGAGATAAATTAAGGAAGAAATACAATGAGGATGAAGAATACAGATTGAAGAAGATAGCGGATGTATATCTTAGAAAGATATGAAAAGGATATAAGGAAATTTATATAGATATATCTAGTTACGAGGAAGAAAAAGATCCAAGGAAAGAGACACAATGAAATCGGATTATGAGACAGATGTTTCAATGGAGTCAAATGAAACATATAAGACAGATGATACAGTATGTTGCATTTCGGTTCCGAAAAGTAATTTTGATGTGATAAAATACTTTGGATCGAGAGAGTTGCAAGGGATGAGGTTCTATGAGAATTTTGATAAGAAAGCATTGCAAAATGTGTTCCAAAACTTTGAAAAGTATGAATCAGAGATAAGGAAGAACAATGAACAGGAAGATTGGAATCCGAAGGGATTCATGCTGAATTATTTGAAGCATTCAGGATCGAACGATTACTGTTTGATAAGTTATTCAAAGGCAAAGAAAGCGCCTCAATTCAATGAAAATAATCATATATATACTGAGGCGGGCCCGCAGGGCCCGCCTTACAAAAAACTCACAACGTCGGGAGCCCCACCGCAAACATACCCCCAGATCCCCTCCCACCTTCCATCTGAGGTCATGGAGAGGCTCATTGGCCTCCATCTAGACTGATCTGATACCTCCTTGTGTCATCCGACTCATATATATACTGAGGCGGGCCCGCAGGGCCCGCCTTACAAAAACTCACCCAAGACTTCAAACAAAGCATGGAAGCTCTCTCCAACAATGGCGACAACAAATTCATCGGGAAACTCCTCAACACCGCCATGAAACCCCAAGTCGACAAGTACGCCGCCGACGCTTCCTTGCCACTCTCGGCTCTCTCAACGGATCAATGGGTCAACGACTTCATCTTCTCCCTCGACACCTCCACGATCAGCAGATCCATCCAGGCTACGAAGACCGTCAATCGATCCAGACTCAACTCGCCTTGGCATCCTCCAAGCTCTACAACGGGACCGAATCCGAGGCTCAACCCAACCGCAACCTCTACCTCTTCCAAAAACTTCACCCCAACCAACAATACAACAGCAGCGACAAAAAGGCCTTGGCAATCTCCTATGTCAACCGATGCATCGAGATCATCATGTTCTGGGACAAAGACCTCACTCAGACCCCCAACTCTACCCACGTCCCAACAAGGGATTACATCAACAACATGGTCGATACATTGTCAACCAACAACGATATCTTCATCTCAGTTCACTGCGCCATAGACCAACCTCTCAGATCCGTCTTCAACTACACCATCGCAACTCAGAAGCATACCAAGCTCTACACCATCATCGCTTTGACTCTGACCGCAGTGCGTCGCGCTGAGCAACAACCCGATACTATCCTCAGTCTCTATAAGTTCCTCTTCTTGCTGATCAACGAACATATCGTTCGTCCGCATATGTCAGGCCTTAACTTTAACTTTAAAAATCTCTTTGATCTTCAATAAACTTGACTTGAACGAAAACTCATTCGACTCAGTGACTGTTTCCGATACCCTAAACCTTAATCACTAGATTAACTTTGAACTTTGAACTTTGAACTTGAACTTGAACTTAAACCTTAAACTCAAACTTAAACTCAAACTTCAACTCTGAGGCGAGCCCACAAAGACCACCCCATCCTCCCCTTGTAACTTCAAATCAAACTAACCGTTACAACATCAGTAGTACCCCTTTAACGAGCTCTTAGCCCCATTCCACTAGGCGTGTTCGGTACGCCAATTACAGGTCAATTCTGAATTCTCAATTGTGGGCCACATTTAAGATTTCAGAACGCGCGCAGAAAACGTGTTCGGTATTGCAATTTAATAAGTCATGTTGTAAGATAATAGTAACATTTTAAGATTCAAACCGTGCCCTTGCTCCCATCAACCATGCCGATTCAGCGAGACACGCCACGGATGTATGGGAGGCGCACCCTCCTCTACCATTTGGAGAAGGCTGTGGTCAATCGCTCATCAGCGCGCATCATGCAGATTCTCATGCTCACGATTTCGCAGCATTCACGGCAGAGCATGCGGCTTCTTGGCATGGGGGTTGGTGATGCATTGTTTTGGCTGTTTCGTTCAAAACGTCGGGTGCGGGAGCTTGTGTGCTTGTTGTCTATGATGGACATGAACAACCGTATCGTCAATCTGCCCTTTCAGCGGACCGGATCGCAGGGACCACTGAAGACGCCAGATTCCTTCTCGCACGTGGAATTCGTGCAGCAGTTCCGTTTTCGTAAAGTACATTTTCATCGCATTCTGCGATGCTTGAAGGATGATAACGGGCAGCCAATGATGGTAGGGGACGAACCAATCTTGTTGAAGTTTGGAAAGCGAGGGCACAGGACATCCGTGCGTGCAGACTCAGTCTTCATGATTTTCCTGCGTCGGCTGTCATATCCTGCGCGGTGGTGCGATCTGGTATATATTCTAGGTGGGTCCATCACAGTTCTTTCCGAAACTTTCAATCACATGGTCAGAATCTTGCACAAGAGGTACGCTATCTTGTTGGCAAGCATGCGGCCTTGGAGGCATCGATTTAGCCAATTTGCTGCTCACATGCGAAGTTGGGGTTGTCCACATGACAACCTTGTCGCTATTTTTGACGGTCATTTACAGCCCACGTGCCGACCCGGGGGTGATGCTAACTGGAACTTGACCCTACATGACAGGCAGACGTTTGCCGGAAAGGAGAGGCTGCACGGGTTGAAGTATCAGGCTTGTGTATTCCCGAATGGGATATGCTGCGTGTGGGGGCCTTGGAGGGGTTGTGAACACGATGCAACAATGTTTCGGCGGTCTGACGTTCTTGAAACCTTGCGCGAGGTGTCAGAGGAGCAGGGGGTGGACTTCTGCTGTTTTGGGGATTCGGCGTATCCCCTTAGCCGCTTCATGCAGCACATCTTGAAGGCTCCAGCGGAAGGGGAGCTCACGCGCCTGGAGAGGAGGTATAACGCCCTTATGGGCCGCTTTCGCATTGTCATTGAGAATTGCTTTGGAGAGGCAACTCAATACTTCGGCATGCTGCAACACCGACACAATCTGCGTTTGGGGAGCCAGCAGGTTGGGAAGCTCTTTCCTCTTGCGATGTTCATTTTCAACATCCACACTCTGTTTTATGGGAACCAGACAACAGCATACTTCGAAGGGGAGCACATGGTACTGGATGTGTCTGTGGAGGATTACCTGTCGTTGGCAGATGAGTTTCAATAAAGAAAACCTCTACCGTTAGTCGTTCCCTTTCAGCATCTTCACCAGATAATCTGGGATGTTCACACCCCTGTCATGCAAAGCCAGAAACGCGTTCATCGCATCGGCCGCCCGCTGCGAGCGAGTAGCTTCCGCCTTAATTCGTTCTGCCTGGGCCTTGATGATATCTGCCTCGGCCTTGAGGACCTGTGCCTTCCCAAACTGCTCCATAACGGCTCTGTCGTTTGCCTGAGAGGACTCCAGTAGATCGCACAGGCGGTCTTGCTGACTGAGAACGCCCGCAACATGGTCGGAGGACGGGCTGCCGCTTTTGCGGTTGGGCCCTTTCCCGTTGGGATACAGAGCTGGATCCTGCTTGGCGCGCTTCTGTAGACCGCATGAGGTGCCACGCCCATAACTGCCTCCCTGTTCATTCTTCTTGCGCGTTTTCTGAACAGAATTATCCTCCTCGGAACTCGGATCTACAGGCTCGGGGGAGGGAGTTAAGCACTGCTCAGTCTGTGCTGCGATGTTATAACCACAACGTTTAGCGGTGGTCTCCATAGCACCCTGTAACCTCTCCCTGGCGTCATTCTCCTCATCCTGAGCATCCCTCTTCTCCCTCTCCTTCCGGTCTTTCATAGCCTTCATCCGGCCGGCCAGATCGAGCATGAGCTGGTGCATCTCTGAAAGTTCCCCGCCACCATTCTGCCACAGCTTCACCCATTTTTCCTCACCTCCGTTAGCGATTTCCTCAGCTTGTTTCTCAATCTTGCGCCATTTGTCCTTCAAGGTGTTCAACTTCAGCTGCCCTGCAAACACAGGATGCCCGTTGAGCGCCTCCTGAGCCTCCTTCAGCGTCTTCTCCTTCTTCCCCCATTCAAATATGGCACCATCGTTGTATTGCATGACACATTTGATGATCTCTACCATGCGCTGTTCCCCATCCCCCTTGAATTGCATGGCCGCATGGGACAGTTCAGATGGCTCTCCCACGCCTACTGCATTAGGTTCTTCATCGCCTGCTCCAACACGTAGTGGAGCGCCGTGGGGATCTTCAGCCTGCATAGGTTGCTGCATGGTTGATGCGCGCGCGATTGGTGAATACAAGAAATTCAAATTAAATTCGCGTTGTAAGCTCGCGGTACATCAAATTGGCCTCTGGTACAAATTATTCATCGTACATTAAATTGCCTCTGGTACAACAATTTCATGGTACATTAATTCGAAAAGCTCTCGTTTCAATAGTCGGTGGAAATGCAATTGTGGGTGTATTCCACCAACTTTTGAATTTGCAATTCTGGGTCCGAGGTCCCATATTTGATTTACTCAATTTTTTGATGTACCAGCATTCCACCTGTAATTGGCGTACCGAACACGCCTACTGGTACCGGTGTTGCTCAGCCCCCACTACCCCCATGTCTTGTTTCTGGTAGGATCTCGTCTTGGGGAGCTTCGGAGTAGGTCTGCCACTGACTCCCGTCTAGCTTCACCCCCGTTATTCTAGCTAGAGTAACCTCGGATATTCTCAACGCCCTGCAAGGCATCCAGGGCTGTCAGGTGTGCCTCCTCCCTCCCCAGACTCAGCCCTGACTCATGTTCGGAGATCAAATTGAGAGTCACTTTCAAACGAGAAACTATACATTTACATTCGGCTGATCTAGATATCAGTTATACACATTAGGTCAAGTTCATAGAATCCAGCGCAAGGAAGGAGACCGGAGGTATCACTTTGCTGCGCTGATTCATTCGCACGCATGGTCCATGTCCGTCCCCGTCAGCTTCCATATAAGAAGCGCACAATCGAAAGGATTTTCTTCGGCCCCTGTTATCGCGTAAGATAGTCTTTCCATGCACCCAACATTTCAGTACTCACCTTCAACAAACATCTGGCTGCTGTCCAGGTCCCCTTCCAACACGTCAGGTCCAGCACACCAAGAGCAGGAGAACAGACCGATCTCCTCGTACAGCCGCGTCCCTGTCCCAGCAGCAAGTAGGTCAAGGTAAGGGTGAAGCATGGAGGAGGTGATGTGCTGGGAAGGGCTGGAGAATGACGAAAATGCGGCGGCCTCTGGATCCTGCAAGCTTTTGATGGTGTCGAAGCACCTGATGGTCCCGTCCTGTCTCAGACAATCGTATGAGATGCAAACCAACACTGCACGTATGAAGCAAACATGGCTCGGGGTGAACAATTGCTGTCCCTTGGGATGAAGATCGAACTGCTATGATTGTGAGCGAAGCGTATGAGGCAGAAAGGCGAACCTGTAGTCGCTGGTTGGTCGGTGCGCACCTTTCATACCGAAAGAGAACGTCTCCCGTATTTCTCACATCCCAGCACAAGATCTCATCGTCCTTGCGAGCTCCGCTGTACAAGTAGTTGCCGCAAGGGCTCCACGCCAACCAGGTTACGCCTCCTCGGTGACCCTGAGAGCGAGTCACGGCACGAAGAAGCAGGAACGAGAGCAGACGTTGAGAGTGTAGAGAAGCTTTCCTGCAGGGCTAGCAAGCAGAGCGATATGCCTCGAGTATGATCCCGCAGCGTAAAGTCCTGACCTGTTGAATGACTTAGTAGGTTGACTCCCCTCACTCGTCTTCCACTTCCTTACCTATCTGGGTTGAAAGAGATGCAGGAGATGATTCCCCTCTGCCCAGTCGACTCTCTGTTTGCTCGTTTGAAGGTAGGTTGTAGCACATGTTCGCGGCTGACAAAGCTCAAGTCAGAACCTTTTAATAGACCACCGCTGCCTTCACCCTGGCCTCTCGATGTCAAACACTCGAATGCAGTTGTTGTACCCGCAGTACAGCTTATTGCTCGTGTTGTCAAAGCCAATCGAGTATGCTGCAGCTTTTGCACATGTCAGGCACCTCTCTCAGTCCCACCAGCCCCACTTAGTTCCTCTGCGTCGGTGTACGCACAATACGACCCGCGGCACTGTCCGGTGTAAGCATCCCATACGTGAACAGGGTGATCTCTATCGCAGGCATCTGTCATGCAACAAGACCGGAAAGAGTTCAGGATGACCTCGTTGTGCTGAACACACAACACGTCTCAGGTTGACTTGAGTGCATCCCAGGATACCAAGCTGCACAATTCCGTCCATGTTACAAGAGGTAGGGCATGCAGGGGGATAGAGATGAAGGAGCACCTGACTCGTAGATCGTCTCTCCTTCCTCCTCACATTCTTCAGCTGCATACAGCAGAGCAAGGGAAGCTCAGACCTGGATCCTCAACGATGCCGTGAGACAGTCACGTGACTGATCCCAGCTCTGCTCGTCGCTCGCATGCTCTTCGCCCCCTTGTGGGATCTCGAAGATTCGTAGGATTTTATCCTCCGAGCTGCCGCATACCGTCAGGCATTGGTGTCGTCATAGCACGCAGTCACGTTACCTCGTCAGGACGCACAGACCGTCGGGCGACCATTTCACGTCTTTTAGGAAGTTGTTCTTGACCTAGACACTTACGTGTTGGCACTTTCGTGGCGAACAGTTTGAGCAGCAATGAACGCCATCATAACATCCTCCTCCTCCTCCTCCTCACCTTCCCATCTTGATACTCCTTAGCCGCTGCCCACATGGCGCTGCCACTAACCATGATCGCCCACCGCACCCTACCCCCACCCCCATGCCTCATGCTTATAATACCCACCCCTTCATGGGATCTTCCGGCCCCGGGCAATTCGACTTCTACTACTGAGCCTCCGCTACTTGTCCGGGCGATGGGTATGTGCGGGGAGGGGGGACCAAAGTTTGACAACCTCTGGGGGAGATGGGCATGGCAGTCACGGTTGGGGTGCCTGCTCTTGTCATGGCGGCATGGCTGTGCGTGGAGGGAGCAGAAGTTGTGCCGTCTCTCGCCCTCGAGGAGATGGTTGACATCGTAGCAGGCTCAGGTACCTCTTGCCGTCATTCCCCGGTGTGACTTCGTTTTCAAGGTTCTCAGTCCCGGCAGCGTATCGGAGCGAAGCTAGCAAGCAAGGAGCAGGTTAAGAGGATCATCTTGCCATCGACTCTGCTGTGCGACCTTGACTCGTGTATCTTCAGTCCGATCATGTCACCAAGTTGAAGCATAAACTATCTCGTAAGGTCCTGCCTTGAAAAGCATCAGGTATGACTGCTTCAGACCTGATAGGCAAGTCGTCGAGCCTCGAAATCCTCTCGTCATCAGACTCCTCCTTCATCCACTTATCAGAGGGTTCCTCACCTCTCAGGTGAACCTCGCGTTGAGCTCAACAGTTGCTGAGCAACAGGAAGCAGCAGCGTTCTACATGTCAGTCACGGCGACCTTCTTCGGTCCCTCCACTACCAGCATGAGACGGTGAAGTTTGTCGGCGAGCATATTCGTTGCTCATGATGTCTGGTTACATCAGAAAACCTCTGGCATGTCAGCGATCAGGAGCAACAACTTCCTCCTCTCTCCCATCGCTCCTCTGAGTTGCTTCCTGCGGGTGAACGCGTCATGGAGCATGTTTCAAGAGTCGAGGTACATCGAGCACAGTCAGGGCATCCCAGGAACGAGCAGCGTGATAGCAGTCGTGAGCAACGAAGAGTCCGCTCTCGTCAACTACCTCCGTCAGTTCCCCGACCTGTACAACTTCGTCGCCAACAGTCAGCAGCTCTTTGGGATGGAGGGGAGGAAGATTGTGCGGGTAGATATGGAGACGAACAAGATCCTGTGGGAAGCAGGATCCGGTCAAGTTGGCTCTGCCGATGGGACTGCAACCGCCTCGTCCTTCTCTTCTTCCATTACAGGCCTGGCATGGGCCCCTTCATGTACCCAAGGGGTCAGTAATTGATGTTATCCTCCCCTCCCATCCCCTCCTCGTCCTCCCTCTTCCTGCTGCTTCTATTCGTCATGCAATTATCTGCCAGGAAGTCTGCTCTGTCCATGGAGCACGAGAAGGCTTTTTCCAGCAGCAGGGGATGCAGAACTGGATTTACGTGGCAGATTCCGGAAATGTGAGACAGAGGAGGAGGAGTGGAGGAAAGGTGGAGGGGGAGCGAAGGGAAAGGGAGAAGATGGAGAAAGTAAGGAGGAGGAAGAGGGGGGGGGAGGGGACAAAGAGGAAGAGGGGGACCAAGCGGAGGAAGCTGCTAAACAGACGAAACAAGTGATGTTTGCGTGGGAGAAGTAGCAGCAGCATGAAAGGAGATGTACAACGCGAGGAGATGTAGCTAGAGGGGGAGGGGAGTGGGACTGAAGGAAAGAACGGCTCTTGTGACAAGTTTCTTGCTTTCAGTGTCTCATCAGACTTGTGGACTTTGCGAGTGGAGCGACAAGGACGAAATGGGGACGAGGATGTTTGAACGGGACAGACGCACAAGACCCGAACTTGTACACTGACAGCCCTATCCCCTCCAAGAACGTCCTTGGAAGGTTCCAATGCTTTTCTTCGCCCTCGTTTTCTCTTCTTTCATCCTCGTCTTCGGCCTGCCCAGCCATTGCTCTTGCTCTTTTTCTTGCTCGTGCTCGTGCTCGTGCTCGTGCTCTTGCTCTTCATCCTCGTCTATTGGCATGGTCCTTCTTTCCTCGTTTGCTGCTCAATTCTTCCTCCTCTCCCCCCCGCTCCCCCTTCGCTTCTTCTCCCTCCCTCCTTCATCTTCTCACGAGTGTCTCCCTGGCTGCAGTCACCTTTCAATCGCGTGGGTCTCTTGGAAGTTCTTCATCGTAGCTGACAGAGACGCGAAGTGGGTCAACTGACGCGTCAAAGTCTGTTTGACGTCTGTACGTCTGCAGTCGCATCCGAATGTTTGTCACCAGTCAGCATCAAGGGCTGTCTCCTCTTGCCGGCAGGTGAGATGATGGCAGCAGCCCGGCAGATTGACTTTCCTCCTCCTCCTCCTCCTCCTCCTCCTCCTCCTCCTCCTCCTCTTCCTCCTCCTCTTCCTCTTCCTCTTCCTCTTCCTCCTCCCCTTCAATTCCCTCCGCTCCAGCTTTGCTCCGTCTGCTGTCTAGGATGTTTAATCATGTACATCTCAAGAAACGCTTATCGTTTCTTCTTCCAGCAACGTCTCTGCCTGCAATTCCTCCAGTCAGCTCGACGGGGATGGCATGACAGCAACGTGACTCCTTCCTCCCTCTCGACGCTCCTGCTTGACTTGCCTGCAGCTTCTGCCGTCCTGACGCTGTCGCTGCGTCCTCGAGCGGAACTTTCGCCGTCGTCTCAGGAAAGTTGTCAAGATGTGTGGAGAGAGCGTGAAAGACTTTGCAGAGGATGTGCGATCCTCGTACCGCCGGTTGAGGATCTTGAGATTCGAATATGAGGTGAGGAAGGAAGGGAGGAAGGGAGAGGAATGGAGAGAACAGGAAGGAAGGAAGGGGAGGGAGAGGAGCATAAGGAAGAAGAAGAGAGGATTGGGGGAGAGGCTGAGTGGAGGAGAATAGCGATGAAGTAACCTTTGTTGGTATTCCAGTACTTGCCTGGAGGAGACGTCAAAGATGTGAAATGTACCGTGAAGACTTTAATCTATCAACCCATTACAGGACACGTGGGAAAACTCTCCTCCTCCCCCTCCCCCCCTTCTTTCTTCATCTCTCCTCCTCTCCTCCTCTCCTCCTTTGCTCTATTTCTCTCTCCTCCCCCCTCCATGCATCTCTTGATCACCTTACTTCACTTCACCTCATCTTCTCTCTCTTCCTAACCTCCTCAGCTCAAGTCTTCTTCTCTCTGCTTTGTACCCTCTATCGCTCCTCCTTAGAGTCAACCCCTTCCCTTCTCTTCCTCTTCTTCCATCTCTTCCTTCTCTTCCTCTTCTTCCTCTTCTTCCTCTTCTTCCTCTTCCTTCTCTTCTTCTTCTCCCTCTTCTGCTTTCTCCTCACTTTCTCGCAGGATCAGCTCTTTAGCCCATATGGCGGACTTCAGCTGTCCCCTGACGGACAGTTTCTCCTCTCTGGTTCAACACCACAGAGGTGAAGAAGGGCAGGAGGAGGGGGAGGAGGAGGAGGAGGAGGAGGAGGAGGAGGAGGAGGAGGAGAAGGAGGAGGAAGGAGAATATCGTTTGCAATCATCCGCTGACTCTGATTCTCCTC